AGAATAAATTTTGGAACTCTATCTCATACCATATACAAAAACTGAACTCAAATGGATCCGTATTATAAGTAGTATAATAATTTGGATTTAAAGACCAATGGATTGTCTTAAACTGCTGATACTTTTGCTCAACTCCTCTTTCTTTTTTTTTTTTTTTTTTTGTCTTTTGTCTTTTTCCTTGTCCGGCAACGGATCACAACCCTCAGTGTTGCCCCCGTACCGGACCGGGGACCGGCAACGGGACTGCAACCCTCGGCGTCGCCCCCGCGCCTCGCTCAGCCAGTGAGCGGGAACCGGTCTGTATGTGGGATCCGAACCCTTGGGCGGGAGCGTCGCCGCGCTTCCCAAGCGGCGCACTATCCAGTGCACCACCGGACCGGCCCCCAACTCCTCTTTCCACAAAATCAACAATTAACCCATATACTCCAATTCCAGTATTAAATACCGTCATTTTCAAGCATCTTCTTCTTACCCTGCACAAGCCTGTAGACAGGCCAACATTGTTGCCAGAGTTTCTGGAGGAAGTTGAGCACTTTTGGGCTGGTCTTTCTCTGGGGCAAGTCCACCCAAAATAGAAGGGCATCGTCTCTTTAAAAAAGTCATACATGCCTGGATAAAAGGCTCCTGAAAAAGAGAAAAGTCTCTCAGTGTATTTGAAATTGTTCTTAACTGCTTTCAAATTAAAGATAGCTACTAAACACCATGACTAAAAACCAGAATAACATCTTCATTACCATTTTTAAAAGTTGTTCCTAAACATTTTAGCCACTAAAATTTAAAAGCAGAACTAAATGAACAAATCCTGCTTACCCCATGTTCTCGAATTTTATCTGTGAGCCATTTGTCAAGTTTGAGGTATTCACGACGTGAAGCAAGTGCAGCAAGGTCAATAACAAAGGCAAAAGGTGTACCATTTAGCAGCATTGACAAGGCCTAAAGAAAAAAGATTATTAAAAACTACAAGTCAAGCACTTAGCTAACTATCTCTCTGTGCTACTTTCTATTTCCTCCTTTTCACAAACAAGTCTAAATAAAATATACTGCTAATATTTCCTCAGTCACAATTTTTTAAACAGATTAACTCAGTGGCAACATTAGTTCTTACTAATAAGATCACATTTGAGCAGATGACCGACCTTCAGAATAAATTTTAACCTGTGCTTTTACAAATAACTAAATCTAGAGCAGAGCAAGACTCAAACAATGGATAATCATACTTACCTGGTTTTTTAAACGTAAACACAGGCTGACTCTAACCTAAGTACAACTATGTCACCAGTACTAATGCACCTAGTGATTAATGTTATAGAGTCAAAACTATTTGTTATAAGATCCTGTTGATTCTAATAAATTTGCTAACAGGTAGTAATGCACCTGATTTCTCCAAAAATTATACCTCACAGATTACTTAACAAGAAAAGATCAACTATCACTTTAAAACAGCCTTACAATACATCACAGACCAAAGAAAAATAAATGAAAACATTTTTACATATCTAAAATCACTATCTTTCCCATTCTTTTGGACTTGGCAAAATTCTAAATCAACTCATTCTATCTAAGAGCTAGTTATATGTGAATTATTCCTAAGACATCTTTGTCACAAAAATTTATTTTGTATCATTAATAATTAAGCCAGTGTCATTCTGTCCCTATGAACTCACCTTCAAGTCCTGGGCCACATCAAGTATTCTAGACAATTTGGCCTGGTCATACTGCTCCCCTCTCATGTACCATTCTGCCATTGCATGCATAATAAGTTGGCGAATTGAGGGAGACTGTCCCTAAGAAAAAATAGGTGAAAGGTTAAATAGCAATACCACTAAATAATTCTGATAGGTAGTATTACAAACACCTGGTTAATTTTACTTGTAGTTATGTAAAAATCAGGCAGTAAATAGGTTTCCTACACTATGCAATTACAGTGACAATCGTTATAAGAAAGCCAAGTTACTTGTACATCTTCCAAATGAAGCCTGCTCCTAAACTTGGGTCATACAGTCATATAACAAACATATTTGTCCTATAAGTCTGCCTATACATTTTCAAACACAGAATAGAATCTGATATAATATGATGTGAACATGTTACAATCAAGTTCATACAACTCCTTAAAAGTAAATTACATGGCTCACTTGGGAGAGTATGGTGCTGATAACACCAAGACCATGGGTTCGGATCCCTATATAGGGATGGCCTGTTAGCTCATTTGGGAGAGCATGGTGCTGACAACACCAAGTCAAGGGTTAAGTTCCCCTTACTGGTCATCTTTAAAAATTTTTAAAAACAAATAAATAAATAAATTACAAATTACTGGTACATAAATAAAAACCAAATAGTTTGAGGTAACCATCTCTCATGTTGCACAGTATACTGTCGTATCACTACTTCTGCAAGTGGTGGCTGTACACACATTCTAAATCTAGCTACTTCCAATAACAGGAATGTTAATTTTTTAAATAATTATTCAGCTTTTTTGCCAGCAGATAGTCTGGCTTTCAAAACTAACCTAAAG